GAGGGCGTACAGATGGAAGAGAAAGGTGGCTCTAACCAGTTTTGGCCATGAATTACCCTCCGTTGATCCCTCACTGCAATAGTACGCCCTCTTGAATAAATTTGTTGGACTTGTTTCGGGAGTTTGGGTCAAATCCACCAAATGAGGAGATCTGGGTCATTAAAAGGGACTGAACTGAATACTAAAAAAGGTTGACATCTGGCTGTTACAACAGGTGCTGCGTAAACTAGTCCACGTGGCATTGAGGCATACCGTGCATTGTACATAACGACATGCAAGCTACTACATACTTAATGGATAAGATTACATTTTCCAGTGTGATCACCAGGTGTGTTCACGCAACCTCAGTTTAACAAATCTCTCGTATTCACGGCATCAGGGCTTGCCCAAACACACAGTGCTGCATTATACACCATATTTTCATGCTGCTCCACACTTTTGTCACTTTGCATCTGTTGAAACATTAAATCACATCCTGTGCTTCTACATGGTGGTGGAAAGTAACTCAAGTACTGCACTTCTGTACACATTGGATAATTTGTATCATGTTTGAGTATTTCCATTGTCTGTTATTTTTAGCAACTGCTCCACAGCAATTCGGATGGAAATATTGTCAATTTTACCACACAACATTTATCTGACAGCTCCTGGCTGAAGCTGTTCATAGATATAGTATAAGGCACCGTAATTCAAATGTCTTACCAAAATGAATTTCTTTATGATCAACATAACTGCGAAACCAGAAGCTAAAGAGCGAGAAACTGTGTAGGTAGTTAGTTATTTTAACTAAATGTTGCCTTATTCACCAAGTACATTTCTCCTGTGGACTGTTTCATTTGAGTAAGCGATAACAGGCCAAAAGTCCAGAAAAATGTGAATTTTTGATAGAAACAAACAACATGATCTCACAACCCCCTTAGATATATATATATATAGAGAGAGAGTCTCAGAAGGATCCCCTCAGAAGGGACTACCTAACTGTTACATTAAAAAAGTCACAGCTACAAAGCTAGAAATTATGTTATTTTCTCCAATTAAATTCAGCAAAAATATTGACAGACCCCGAACAAGGAGGACGACCAAAAGTAATATTTGGATGAGGCATTCACACGTATCGGGTGCAGTGTTCTCCAGCTGACAAGCAGCTTCACAGCGACAGCATCTCCTCCCCCTCACTACCAGTTACGTCTCCCATGCCTCCCATACATTCCCACTGCCACATGCATAGGAGGGAACACTTCTCCCATCTACAATCTGCCTTCACAAGGAAAAAATTCATTGTTTCCCTCTGTAGGGCTAAAATGAAGTATGTAAAGCCCAGGCAGGGCTGGGGGGTTGAGAGGTGGTTGTAAGCTCATCCTCATTAGGACTGGTGATTGTTCAAGTGATTTTCTCGTAAAAAGCTCCTCTTCAGCGGCGACGGGCACATCTTCCGCTGACAGGATAAGCAGGCCCATGCAGCTCCTGATTGGGAGCTGTGGTTGACAAATGGAGCTGTGCATGTATGTGTAGGAATCAGAGAACTAGGACTACTCTAACGTACTGTCACTGGTTAATTTCTTCAGTCAACCAAGGCTTTCTTCATCACTTAGAGCAGTGGTTGCCAACCTTTTTTGTCGCAGACTCTCTGTTCGCTGGTGGGCGAAACTGCCGTTCACGGTAAGAGGACAATTGTAAAGGTGAAGAAAAACGCTTGGTGACGCTTGGGAAATATGTCAAGAGGGACGAGCGCACATAATTAGGGGAGAATCCGGTCAATAGTGCAACATGTTCCATCTGGTGGAATTCTGCCTTATTAAATAACAGTATACGCTAAAATACACGCGTTCTAAAGCGATTAATCATTACTTGTAAGATTTAGTCTTTAGAATAAAAACGCACATTCCAACAACATTGTAACAACAAAAACAACATTCATTAACTGCGATTAATCACAATTAATGCATTTCAAAATGTGCGATTAATTAGTTAATTATCTTTAATCTACTGACGGCCCTTTATGCAATATATTTACATCCATACAGTGAAGCAATCCTACTCTGTGTTTTGGTTAAAAACAGATAGACACTTTACGGCTGGGCTGCATTCCTTATAGCCGTTTTCTGCTAACGGCTCTATTGCCACTGTTTCTACGGGGCAATGATCTATGTTTCCCAACAACCTGTGTCCGGTATGCACTGCTGGTGTTTTTTGGCGGCAGACTGCATCGTAGCACACACTCATCAGTTTGCTTCTTGTTTCCTGAATGCCACAGTCAATGTCACTAGATCTTGTTGCTATTTTTAGTTACCGAGGCAACTCAGTTAATGACAGGGACCTTTGACAGAACCCCAACCTCCTTCGGTAATTGTACCGTTTGATGACCGTTTGTGCACTCCAATGCGAAGGCTGTCGACAAAGTGGGCGACCGAGGCCTTTAAAGGAGACGTCAGCTGAGAATTGCAGGTGGTTCATGCCGGCTCGGCTTAACTTTCAGAGAGTGCAGTGTTTGAAGAACAGATGGCAGTTTTTTGAGAAGTGATTGCATAACCTCTTTCATTTTTCTCTAAATAAATCTAAGATCGTGCTGTTTTTGATGTAGTGGACACCGTCATCCATTTGACTTGGCGTTTGCTCCTTAGACAGCTGAACAAAATGGTAACTCAATTAAAATGTTGAATGTTGACGAATTGCTCCCCTATAATAGAAAAATCAAAGAAATAGTTCCATTGTGTTGTGGATATGCGTTGGTTTTGTTTTCACGTTGCTACATGGCCCATTGGGAGAAAACTGCTGAATGTTAATACATTCCAGGCCAAACCAGCCGATGTGAGAAGAATTTTCAGTTTTCAGTTTCTAATGTCGGTTGAGTGCCGTGCGGTATATCTACCCCAGTCCTTCATCCATTGGTTGCCTGATCGTTGTTTCAACCAACCTGCCTATAGATTCAGTACCGTGGCGGCGTGCTTATAACTGAGGAGGCAAGTGTCAGCATCCTCAAATTCTGCACTACGAAAAACTACGAAAATTATAGCTGGCGTCCTCCACGTGATCACATAAAAGGCCTCACCATCTCAAGGACTCCCCTCAAGGAATTTCAATTTAACTACATGTTTTTCTTTGTTTGCTTGGATTTTGAATCTTTCATTCACATTACGTATTGTGTGTTTTATTAATTTGTTCAATTACTTTTGCAACACAATAGTTTGGCTATTGAATATTTCTTTTTTATGGGATTCATCTCCTCTGTGCAAATCTTTTAAAACTAGTTGTCAAAAATAAAAATAATAATAATAATAAAAGAAAATCATACAAACATTTGTATATATTGAACCATCAATTGCATTAATCCCAAAATTGATTATGCATAGTATCCCACTAAAACAGAAAGCACACCCGATTCAATCAGGAACAAACGACTAAATGTCTAAATTAATTGTCCTTCCTCTATGGGGACGTCACATTATTATTGTGAAGTGAAGAAAGGGTGTCTTAATTGTTAAGGACATAATGAACTGAAGCTAAAAATATTCATGCCAAAAACAAAACTGACGTTGAAATAGCCGATTTTATTCCTAACGAGGTAACAGTCCAGCTATACATCGTGAACAAAGTCAAACATAGGATAAAAAAACAATGACAGACCATCATTAATTTGAGCTCTTTTAAAGGGTTTCTCAGTGTGCAGGATGTTGCGAGGCATTTGTGTTAATGAGCTACATCATTCATGTGAAATGATGGCACAATTAGGAAAACAAAAGTGCAAGGTGTGACAATTTAAGTGAATGTGCTTTGTCAGTGTCTACAAACAACACCTCCGAGACAGTATATGCATAAAAGCCGCCTTATAAAAACATTGCAGGGGGTAGGGGGGGTTTAGAGGTCGGGATTTTCACCGGCGGATTTTTACCTCGCTGTTTTGCACCCTAACCGCTCTCCCCCGGGATCCTCTGTTGAAACGCTGTGGCAGGAAATGAAATTAAAGCTGCTGAATACAGATCTTTTTGCTTGCGTGCCTGTGTGCGGAGTTGTGCATGCGCGGCGCGCGCTACCAGCTTTGTGTGCTTTTTGAGCGGCATGCATATTAACGAAAAACTACAAACTGTAAAGGAGAAGGCCGCCAGGCGCATCCCAACAGCACTGCAGCACTGCTGGATTTGTAAATGGTGCACTCGCTTCCCCTCTCCTCTGCTCTGAAAGTCACTCATCTTGGGGATCAGGGGGATTACTTGAAAGGTGACTTACGGGGGAAAGAAGGGCTCTTGATGTTTATGTGAATTAGAGCAAAGTTACTCGCCTCCCTCAGGTCGAAGCCCTGCATGCTATTTCCCTTTCTTTCTCTGACCTTCCACCCAGCACCGTTGTATCTTCTGCACTTCTGATTTACCTTTTGTAAACTACAGCCGTTTTTCTTCAGTGCACAGATGTTTCCAGCGCCTTACGTAGCATTGTCAGACTCATTAGTTATACTCAGCCCGTGCAGCGAGCGGGAGCCATCCACTCAGCCTAGCACGTAATGCCGCTTTAGTGAACTAATGAAACTGTAATTACAAAAGTAATGAGGAACAGGCAGTATTGTCCAGTAACTTTGGGTCTAGCTATTGGCGAGGATGAATGATTGTGAGCAGAGTTTCCCTCTTTAATCTTTTATGGATTCTGATACTCTTCTGTATTATGGAATGCACATTCAAAGCGCTTCTTGCTTCTTCGTTCTCGGGATTTCATACTGCAGGGAGCAATATCCCCCTGCAATGTGTTTGTATGATGTATTTGCAATGTATAATGAGGAACCATGTAGGCTAAGGTCCTTTTCTCGAGCCTCTTATAAAGTTATGCCCCCCCAGCGGACCTCATTTAGCAAAGTGTAGGCTATGTACAGCCACGTTTACTCTCCCTGCAACAAAAGCGCAGCAGCAAAAAAACAACACGTTACAAATCAACATGCATTCACATGTTCATACGGTCGGGGGCCAAAACCCAGAACTCCACCTCCTAACTTTTATGTTTCCTCTTAATTGCAGCTCCACACAGACTTGGATGTGGGCGGCAAAAACATCAAGTACGTGTTGGCGGGTGAGGGCGCCGGCACCATCTTTGCCATCAATGAGCTGACGGGCGACATCCACGCTATGAAGAGGCTGGACCGCGAGGAGAAGGCCGAGTACACCCTGACGGCCCAGGTCGTCAACGCCGACACGGACGAGCCCTTGGAGCCGCCGTCCGAGTTCATTATCAAAGTCCAGGACATTAATGACAACCCGCCGCAGTTCAACGAAGGCCCTTACCGGGCCGCTGTTCCTGAGATGTCTGCTGTTGGTGAGTGTCCTTTGGGGGTGCCGCACACACAGCAGCCTGGAGACTAATGGGCTATTGCATACAAAATAATGAGTGGATGGGAAAGAGAGGGAAATGAGAACGCCTATTTACATGCCTGCTCGCTACGAGTATCTCGGCAAATTTAATTATGATCAATCACTTGGACTTCTCTCATAGCTCAGTGCTAAGCTGCCTAACGCTAATGTTAAGACACATGCAGAACAGCCCACTCACAAACAAGTGCGACAAGCCAAATGCACAAACCTTTAAAGATTCTTGACATACACAGAAGAGGAAAAAGCACATTTCACACATCTGCCTTTGTGGACGCAGCAGTTGGCTTTATGGCAGGCCTTGTTTTTAAAGAAGCTGTTCTCCGCTTTGCTTAGGTTAAGGGACACTTTTGTTCAGTGTGGTGCATTCGGGGAATGTGGGAATATTTATCAAGTGACCGCCAGTTATATGGTATAGCTCGTTATTGTTGTGATCAAACATTTATGCAATGCTTCAAAAGTTCAGAAAAAATATGTTGATATATCTGTTGTAGAAATAATCTCTTTATTTTGTACAAAAATACACACACAAACACACCCCTCCTTGACACAGTAAGGCCCAATAAAACCTCCTGTGCACGGACGCTATTCATTATGAGGAACCAAGCGCTTTAGTGTAATTATAGATGAACCGGAAGGAGCCAAATAAAAGGCTTTCTCCTAGCGTGTCAGCACCAAATGATGCTAATAACCACGAGCTACCTTCTCTCTGCCCCCCACAGACTGGCTCACAAGCCGCTGCATATGCTAATATATTCGTACATTCACATTCTTACTCCATCCATGAATTTAGATGACCACTGCATGATTATCACATCATTCACGTGTATTGCTCATCTAGGATTTGCGGCGGCTCGTAAGTGGATCAGGACCCCGTGCTGTTTTCTTTCTCCTCCTTCGGGGGCTACTTGCCACTGACCCCAGAGCAGCACAAGTCTCGCAGAAAATGTTTCCATCAGTAGCAGCGAGGAGATCGGAGCGCCCCTTTGTGTCGTTTTTTTTCGACATTGGCGGGGGTTCGGTGCAGGGGTGCTGAGGTCTGTTGTTGGCCGGTTGTTATTGAGCTTTTCTTTCATCTAGTTCCTCTTGTTGCCTGTCACGGAGCTGACTTAACACGCCGGGGCAGATGGTTCTAGGTATGTAGTGGGATGTTTTTTGGTGAATCCCATCTGTGGGTTGCAGCCTTGACGTCAGTTGCTCGCGGTAACGCTCGAGTTAGCTCTCAGCGCCGCGCGATCGGGATTTTTTTTCTTTTTTGCAGCCTTTTGCAGGTTGCGCTGCTGCTGCTGTGGTGGCAAAAAGGGAACAAAACACAGTGCAAAATAATCTGTGTAAACATAGAATAACAGTGAGCTGTTGTTGTCTGAACTTTGTTCCTTGATCGACGCTGCTCGTTGTTTTGGATCTCGGCTGTTGTGGCTCTCCGAGGGTTTCTCCGGTGCAGTAAAGGGAGCGCCGCGGTGACGGGGTAGAGATGGAAGTGGTGGTTCAAGGCCCTCTGTGATTCGCCGGTGGGAATAACGCATAAGAAATGGAAATTGGCGTCTCTTTGTTGATTGTTGTTCCCTTTTGTCACCCCTGATTAATTAAACATTAGCAAAAAAGAAGAAAAGAAAAAAGCTCAGTTGTTCACTTTCTCCTTCCAACTAGTTTTCCTCTTTTCGAGTTTTCATTTGCCGTCGACGCTCCGGACGGACAAACAATAAGCCGTTGGACTCTCCCGCCTCGTATCCATAAATAAACCGGTTTCTTTACGGTGGTGTTTCATCTCTTATCACGTTGAAATGAGGATTTGTGCAAGCCGTGCTGGATTACTGCGAGTGTGCTGTGGAGTGGAAAACTTACAGTGTCCACAGGAAGGGGAGCAGAAAATAAAGGGATGTTGGTGAGGTCTGCTGAGCGAATCCCTATTTCAAACCGGGAGGCACAAGCATGTGATTACGGCACGTGGTGAGAGGTGCCACATACATGTACGAGTTTTGCTGAGCGCGCTGATGCTTTTCTTGCTTTCCGAAGAGCCACCTGCGTCAAACAATCCCCCCAAAAATCTAATCCCCACCGTAACGGGCCGGTTCTCGTGACGATGTTATCCACTTTACAGGGCTCGTCAGTTCCACTCCAGACTTCATCAATGTCTTCCCAGCTCCTGGCTTATCGGGAGTGTGTCCTCGGCGTATCAGTGAGACCGGGGACAAATATCAACACCCACCTTTTATCTGCCAAGGACTTCAGCTAGATAGCCCCCCTCCCCCACCCTCATTGAATGTCAGCATCCCCCGTAGGAAGCGGTCCCCGCAGCCGGATGAGATATGTGACATGGGCCGCCGGGGTCGCCATGTTTCCTGTGTGCGGAGGAGCATGGAGGTTAATGGGAAATGAAGGAGAAAGACCTTTTGTTCTTCCTTTTAAAAGGCCCTGTCGCACAAGACGTGTGCTTTCCGTGACTTTTCTCTGACTTTCATTTTCCTGAATGGCAGAGAAGAAGGGGTGTGGGGGGGGGCACCATCCTGACTGTTGCTGACTGCACTCTCCCCGAGTGCAGCGCAACAACCAGAGGGAGATGCGAGCAGGTTGATCTGATTAGTGGACGGAGAAGTCGGGTGTCAGGAGGGATTTTGGGGGCCCGATGTCGCGCTCAAAGAAACTTTTCCTAAATGTCAACTATTTAGTATCGAGACAAAACAGACGTGTTTTTGAAGCTGCGTTCATTGATTCCTTTGTGCACTTTCATGGGAGTGGAACAAGCCGATAACATTTTTATATCGGTTTTTGGCCTGATGGAAAAGTAGAGGTCCAATGGACAGTGTTCTTCTAGTCCTGCGCACCATTTATGTTCGCTAGGTAATAGCGACCGCATGAGAACAGCTGCCTACAATTGCAGGACATAAGGGCTGGAAAACATTGACAGTGAACGAACAGATGAACAAACAGAGTGCAGAGCGCGACACATCGGGATGTTAGAAAACGTAAATGCCTTAAAAGGCGCAGATGCAAACATAGAAAGCAGTCCAACACAACACAATGGAAATGTGGGCTTGGTATGACAGCAACCGTTTGGTTAAACGCAGCATTCGTCTGTTGTTAATGTGATAGAATCCAAAGCAGCAGCGTTTTGCCTCAATCATTTTACATTCTGGAAGCTTTTTTTTAGTGTACAACCGCAGCGGCTTTTAACGTTTGCTTGTTGTGTTTCAATTATTCATTCTTCTGAAGAGAAACGAGATCAACGTCTGTTAATCGCTAGAGGATGTTTTTCTTCGAGAGAATGTGTGGATAGGGTTAAAAAAAACACTTTTGGTTTGAGGTTTGAAAAAGATTTTGGTTTCAGTTGAATGTTAAAAAACACTTAAGTGTCTCTGGCTTGAAGAGACTGCAGACCTTTTGTGAATTAAATCAAACCCTCCCTCACCTTTACCAAGTGCCAAAACATAATCATAAAAAAGTCTCAAGATTTGCTTCTTACAAGCAGATAGTTTATTCACAACCAAAATAAATTACGTTAACAGTGAGCATATCAACACTTTTTACATATCTGAAATCCCCAAATCTCCTAATTAAAAAAATATGAATATAAATATAATAAAACGTCATTATGTCGGCCTTTCATTTCATTCCAAACATATTTCTTGCTTCTATCTATTAGGATACCAACGAATATCCTGGGAGACAGTTGTGTGTTGTTGAGGGGAAGCGCAGGGTGCATCTCTATGGGTTCATCACTACAACCACTTCCTTGCTTCTTTTTTTTTTTTACTTATTTGATCCATTGTTAATACGAAGATAATAATTAGTGCAGCTTTAACTACTTTTTGGGGGGGCAATTATCTAATTAATTTTGTTTTATGTGCTTTACAAATCCATGGCTTGTTTAATTTCAACTCCTTCTCCTCATCAGGCAAGTAAATGATGTGGCTTTTCTTTTTTAATTGAAAGATAAAAAATCAAATCAAATTAATATTTACTCTACCTCTCCGTTTCCCCCCTACATTCTCGGTTTCACACGTACTTTCATTAGATAATTATGCTTCACTGCGACTTCAATTAAAAGTGCGTTTGTAGCTTGTTGTCTGAAAGCCCGGCCGTGATTCCAATTCCAATTCATTTACACGGATTGCGCAGATCTCCCAGGATTAGCACACTCGCTTTTCCTGTTAATGGGGGTCTTCGACTTTAAGGCCAGTACAAGCTGACAAATCCCCCCCCCGAATGTCTGTCGACCATATGCTGGAATTACGCGGCTCTGCTACCCTTCTGCGGCTAACAAGGGGGGGGCCGTGTAGTTGGAAATGACAACGTCTGCTTCAAGTGACGCCTCAGGTAATTAGGAGGAGGTCGCCATACCATTCTCCCTGTGCCGAGGGGGGCCAGGGAGGGAGGGGGGGGGGGTGTGAATGGCAATAATTGCTACACCGCCAAACAAACTTGCTGAAAGTTGTTTCGCCGGATGGAGCCCGGGCGAGCGGGGTGGGGAGGGGGGCCTGGGCCTGCGAGTGTGCTTCATTATCAAGGCGATTAATGAACGGACGCGTGGACAGATGGCGCGCCTCGTCTCTGCGCCGGCCCCCGTGCTCCCAGGAACCCCGGCAAAACGAATACCTGCGCGGAAGCGCCGATCCCCGCCAAATGTGTCAGGATTCGCCAAATTGGAGCGCGGACGTAAAATTGAAGTGACATTAATAGATTACCTGGGGTTGGGTTATTACGGGTGCGGGGTAACGGGACGAACAGGCACGACCGACTACGTGGGCCTTAATGAGGTTTCTGATTACGCTCCCGTCACCGCCGGCAGCTGGGAAAGTAAGTAAAAGCTTGTCGATGCAGATTTGCACGATAAATGAGCAGACTTGATCAAGGGCAGACGTATGGAAATGAGCGCGATGCAGACCTTTATCATATACTGTGATCACAGGTGATTTCATCCAGAATACAGACGCCTGTATAAAGGAA